TATTTTATTTTATTTTATTTTTTTGCGGTACGCGGGCCTCTCACTGTTGTGGCCTCTCCCGTTGCGGAGCACAGGCTCCGGACACGCAGGCCCAGCAGCCATGGCTCACGGGCCCAGCCACTCCGCGGCATGTGGGATCCTCCCGGACCGGGGCATGAACCCGTGTCCCCTGCATCGGCAGGCGGACTCTCAACCACTGCGCCACCAAGGAAGCCCTGTTATGTTTTTTTATTTTATTTTTGGCTGTGTTGGGTCTTTGTTGCTGCGTGCAGGCTTTCTCTAGTTGCGTTGAGTGGGGGCTACTCTTCGTTGCGGTGCGCGGACTTCTCATTGCGGTGGCTTCCCTTGTTGCGGAGCACGGGCTCTAGGCACACAGCCTTCCATAGTTGTGGCTCATGGGCTCTAGAGCGCAGGCTCAGTAGTTGTGGCACACGGGCTTAGTTGCTCCGCGGCATGTGGGATCTTCCCAGACCAGGACTCGAACCTGTGTCCCCTGCATTGGCAGGCGGATCCTTAACCATTGCACCACCAGGGAAGTCCCATCTGTTATGTTTTTATGGGGAATGTTTCATAACTAGGAAGGATCTGCTCTTTCATTGTACAGTTACTTGGGTCTTTAATTTCATCCTTTTTGTCCCTTTTCCTCCTCGCTGTGATGAGTTACTGTGGCTTTTGAATGGGCCTTTATTCTTCTGGCCTGCCCGTTGTTGGAGTCAGTAAGACTGGGAACAGGGTGTATGGTCTGATACATGTAGACCTGGTTGGACTACCAAGTCTGTGTTTCAAGTTTACCAGCTGTTGTTTCACTTTGTTGCTAGAGAATGTTATCTTTCCTATGGTGAAATAAGAATTTGTTTCTTATTATTTAGAGTAGGTAGGGGTTCTTTATTTTTTTTTTTAATTTTTTAAAAATTTATTTGTTTATTTTATTTTTGGCTGTGTTGGGTCTTCGTTGTCTTCGTTGATGCATGTGGGCTTTCTCTAGTTGCAGTGAGGGGGACTACTCTTCGTTGCAGTGTGCAGGCTTCTCATTGCGGTGGCTTCCCTTGTTGCAGAGCACGGGCTCTAGGCGCGCAGGCTTCAGTAGTTGCAGCATGCAGGTTCAGTAGTTGTGGCTCACGGGCTTAGTTGCTCTGCGGCATGTGGGATCTTCCTGGACCAGGGCTCGAACCTGTGTCCCCTGCATTGGCAGGTGGTTTCTTAACCGCTGTGCTACCAGGGAAGCCCGGGTTCTTTATTGTTGACAATTATATTACACTGGTAAGTCTTCTTGGCAAGAGTTTATGTTTATTCACTATAATATTTGACTACATTTAAAGTTCAGGTGTTTTCATATTGCCTTTTGCAACTGAGATTTATTCAATAAGATTTTTTTATTTTACTGGAGGATTAAAATCATTTTAGAAATTTCGAGTTTTAAGGCCTGTTTTGTCCCTACAGTAGTAAATGGTATCAGATTACTGTTTTTCAAGTTCTTAAGTTTGCTTTTACTAACTTATGACAGCAAATAGTATCTGTTATCAGCAAGGCTGCTTCTAGAATTCATTTGAATGCTCCTTGAGGGCAGGAATGTTTGTTCTTTTTCACTGCTGTATCCCTAGAACCTAAAACAGTGGCTGGCACATGGTAGGGGTTCAATAAATATTTGTTGAATGAGTATATATGAATATATTAAATTTATCAGTATTCAATATGTTAGAGAAATAGTAAGACTTCTTAATTTCATGTTTTGAAATATCAAAACTTAGTGGTTTTAATTAGCTACGTTCTCTGGCTTACTTTTTCTTTCGTCCTTTTATTGACTAATCAGTTTAGTAAACATTTCCATTACAGGGTAAACTAAGAAGAGATGATATATAGTCAATAGATTTTTTAAATGAGACACCAGTTCTTTTTAAAGTTTCTTTGGAGAGGGTAAGGTTAACAAACATCTTAGCCTATGATATCAGTCATCTATACTTTTTAAAATTTATTTTTACTCTCTTGTTCATGTAATTGTTTCTAGGACTAATTAAAAGGATCATATTTTTTTTTTTTTTTTAGTAAACGTATTTATGTATGTATGTATGGCTGAATTGGGTCTTTGTTGCTGCACACGGGCTAGTTGTGGTGCACGGGCTTAGTTGCTCTGAGGCATGTGGGGTCTTCCCGGACCAGGGCTTGAACCTGTGTCCCCTGCACTGGCAGGCAGACTCCCAACCACTGCACCACCAGGGAAGTCCCTAAAAGGATCATATTTCTTAGGTATCTCTTACACATGCTCAAAAGGGAACACACTGAAGCTTAATAATTAAAATTTTTAATGTATTTATTTATTGAGCAAATATTTTGAGTGCCTACTGCAAGCCAGGCACCATTCTCTCTTCTGGGAGTACTATTCTATGTTTTGAGAGAAAAAAAAGACAAAACTTTCTTTCTTCATGGAACTTACATTCTCATAGGAGAGATAGGGAAACAAGATGTAGAATAAAAACAGATTTCTCTAATAGGGTAGATTCTTTTAAGTTACTTTTGTAGGTTGGACCTTTTAAAAATAATCAGTTCATTAAATACCACTTTGACATTGTTGGGGAATGAGATGCCACATGTGAGAGCCTAGAATAGGGCAAGGCACTTTGGTAGGAACAGTTTTGTAAACAAAAATGGAGTTTACAGCCCGTGCTCTCAGTATTCTTCACACAAGAACTGCAGTGCAAAGCTATTTAAAGATAACCACCTGCAGTGTCGGTAGTATGCTTTCAGAGTCCACAAAAGTCGGAGTTTCTTGACAGCTGGCTCAGTCTAGGCAGACAGTGGGTGGAACAAAAGTATAGAGATGCTAAACAACATACGTATTTGGGAATAGTGACCTTTTTGAAGTGGTAGAAACTGGAAGAGGGGTGTGTGTGTGTGTGTGTGTGTGTGTGTGTGTGTGTGTGTGTTTTGGGGGAACTTATGAGTAGTATCAGGAGCAGAGATAGAAAAAGTAAATTAAAGGTGGATTGTATGCAGCAGGTCTCTAGATGGTCCTGTAAATAATGGGGAGCCGCAGATGACTTTTTAGTTGGACAGTGGCAAGATTACATTTCTTGTTGAGAAAATTAAGTGACTATGGGAAGGATGGGTTGGAGAGTACGACAGGGAGGTTCCAGGCTACTTGGGGCATCTAAAGTATAGCCCAGGGGCAAGACCATAATCCCTGTAAGGGTGCCTCCTGAAGCACAAGTCCATAGTATATAATGTGACTAGAATTGTGCCATGTGGCAGGCAGCCTTGTGACCAACAGAGGGATGAGGGTCAAAAGCTGAAGATACTGAAAGTGAAGAAGAGAATCCAAGAGAATTTTGTGGTTAATAGGATTGGTAACCTACTGGGGATGGGAGTTTTGTGGGATAATAATAATTATAGATGGTTTGAAGTTTAAGACGGATCTTCACATTAGGTAGTGATCGTCTGGACAACACTTTTTTCCCCCCACCTTGTATCTCGTTTTCATAAATTGCTTCATCCCTCATTGAGCCTACCATACCCATCTTTTTTCCACCCCTAATTTGAGCTTTGATATCTGTTTTGGACTATATAGTAAAGCTTATTAGAAGTATTTCTGAAACAAAGGAATTTTTCCTGTGGGGGGAGGTACTTTGAGAAAAGGGTATATGGGCTTTAAGTATACTTAAAGTATAGGGCTCTTTTAAAAAAATCATTTATTTTATTTATTTATTTTTGGCTGTGTTGGGTCTTGGTTGCTGCGCGCGGGCTTTCTCTAGTTGTGGCGAGCGGGGGCTACTCTTCGTTGTGGTGCATGGGCTTCTCGTTGCGGTGGCTTCTCTTGTGGAGCACAGGCTCTAGGCATGCAGCCTTCAGAAGTTGCGGCTCGCTGGCTCTAGAGCACAGGCTCAGTAGTTGTGGCACATGGGCTTAGTTGCTCTGCGCCTTAACCACTGTGCCACCAGGGAAGTCCCTAGGGCTCTTAATATATGTCAAAGTTAACTCATTTATTATATTCCAGATTTAATTTTCTAGATAAATTTTCTTATGGTATAGTAACTTTAATATAATTTTATGATATTTAATTATAACAGTCTAGCCCTGTGAGGTACGTTAAAACATTTGATTATGGAAAAATTTAAATATACCCCAAAATACTAGAGTATAATGAACCCCAGTATACCTATCAACATTTTGCTGGTCTTGTTTCATCTGTTTTTCTCTCTGCCCTTTTACTCTTTTTTTTTTTTTTTGCTGAAATATTTTAAAGCAAATGCTAAGCATATTCTTTCACCATAAATACTTGAATATTTAACAGTTAAGGACTTTATTATTATTATTAATACAACCACAAAACCATTATCACACCAAGCAATCATCTTTACCCCAACTTAACACCATCTAATATAATACCCATTCTGGATTCAGATTTCCCTTTTGGTTTTGAAAAAGAGTTTTGTAGCTGGATTGTTTGAATCAGGTTTCAAACAAGTCTTGTGGTTATTTTTAAAGTTGATATTTTTTAAAGAGAAAATTAAGGCAGTGTGAAAACATTTTAGTATAAGCTATTCTAAGAGAGCAATGCTGTTTTGACAGCCATTCTGTCTGGAACTTAGTTTTGTACAAGGAGGTATCGAAATAGCTAGTATCTATTTTTTATGATTTTTAAACATAGGAAATCTTTCCAAAATGGGGGAAGTGGGTGTGACCCCACTTATCTAGAAGCCTAGAGTATGAAAATATGAGCTATTCAAGAAGGTTCAGGTTTGGGGGAAGACCACATCTCTCTTAGTCAAAACACCCTAGATGGGATTTGAGACTGTTTTTGTAACTACTTGTGTAATGTTACAGTATGTTTTATCTCCCTGGATGTACCTTCCTCATCTATAAAATGAGTGGCTGATTTTTTTTTTTTTAATTTTTATTGAAGTGTAGTTGATTTACAGTGTTGTGAAGAGTGGGTGATTTCTTATATTCCTTTTGAGTTCTTATTTTTGTGTGTTTTATTTTCTATTTATTCTTAACTTTAACAGGATTCTCAAAGTTGGATTGGTGGAAGCAATGAACCATTGACTGGCTTTACATGGAGAGGTGGTTGCGAAAGAGAAACTACAGGCATACAAGTCTGGAATGAAGTGTTTGTGATCGACAGACCTAATGGAACAAAAGTGAGATTCTCTTTATAGTTTTTTACTATATATAGTAAAAAAACATATATATAGTTTTTTACTATATATAGTAAAAAAAAATATATATAGTTTTTTACTAAAAAAACTAGTTTTTTTTCTTCCATATTCTTTCTTGAGCAAAACAACACAGAACTATTAATATCTGATAACTTTAACATATGTGGATTATTATGTCAAAATGTGTGAGATACTTAAGTTAGAGGACTTTTCTTGACTTAATTACTGATTTTGATATTAACCATTTTATATTTGACTTTTATAGTCACTATTGGTGAATTTTTTACTTAGTATTTTAAACTTTTAAATTCCTAGGTGGCTGTGCTGCTAATGGATACCCAGGGTGCCTTTGATAGCCAGTCAACTATCAAAGATTGTGCAACAGTGTTTGCTCTGAGCACTATGACTAGCTCTGTCCAGGTGAGATACAGAGATGCCGCGGTATGATCAGGTCAGACAATCCTAATACCTTTGCTCTTCCTCAAAATGCCTTTTGATTGAAGGGAAAAAAAGGATTAAAATCAGAGAAACTATTTACATTTAGTATTGGTCACTTACATTTCTATGCTTGCTGTTCTGGCCTACAATGTGAAATTTCATACTTTTAGTGCTCACCAGGGAAACAGTGAACCAATAGCCAATCCCTTTGGTATTTCATCATAGCATCTATGCTTTTTTCTTTTTAAAGGAATATATATTATTGCATGATATCCTTAATTGAATTCAAGGATATTCAGTTGATATTGAATTCAATTGAATTCAGTCATATACAGTAAAGTATAGGGTGTTTCTTTATATTTTGGCTAAACCAACCAACCAAACAACAAAACCAAGTAATTAAATTTAGTTTTCTACTCGATATGTATGACAACTAGTACATGATTATTTGAACTAATGGAGGTAGAGGCATAATAATTCTTATTTAGGAAACCTTAATGATGTTTATATAATAAACTAAGGACTTAAAGCACCTGTTTCATTTAGAAAGGGGTAAAATCCTTTCTGTTTTTTCACTTATGCTGTACCCTAGAGTTATGTTTGGTGTTCTATCAAGTTCTAGTCTCTTCAAGCTAGGCCATCTCTTTTCTGTATAATTTAGACTAATTGCACTGAATTAAACCACCACAGGTCATTTTTTATTTCTTTACTTTCTGTTTCCTGAGCTCATCTGTGGTTGATACTTCTCTGGCTGAAAAATGAATTATTGAAGTATGGTGGTTAGATCCAGCTGGTGATGTATCAAGATGTATATTTGCAAATATTTTAAAAAGTATGTGCTTCTCCTGAGATAAATATTTCTTATGGATGGTAGATTATAGGTGATACCGTCACAGTGTCTTGGAATTTTTGTGCTTTCCATTAATATCTGGAATGTATGACCAGTTTCTATTAAAGTTCCCATTTCCTTTCTTCCTCAATTTGAAGTATCCAGCTGTCAGAGTGGAAACAAGTTTTGGAATTATTATGAGATAAAAGAGAAGTGGCTTCTTTTTATTATAGGGATGGGAATATCTGTCACTACAAACTAAGTGATGTTATTGGGGACTCTCAGAGTCTCTTTTTTTCAGTTTGTCCTACCTCTTTTTCTCTGATCTTGCAGGGCAGCACAACTGCCATTTTCTTGAGGCGAGCAGAAGCCACATCTTTGTATTTATATTATCGCATTATAGCCCTTCAGATTAGCTGGCTCTGTGGCTTGCATTAAATTATAAGTTCTCTGTCCTAAAACTTATACCATGGTGTTCTCTTGTTTATTCAACTTTATGATAGCAAGAGAACTGGTTTTGGACAACCATGTAAAGCCATTCAGCCACTTTCTTATCGTAAAACAAAGATTTTGCCCATCTTGCCTATCTCACATGTGGTTTTGTGTGCAGTCAGAAATGAGATACAAATGAGATAATGCATAAGAAAGCGGTTTGTAAACTAAATAATCAAGAAGATTAATTTTTTTTTTCTTTTTTAAGGCCGAACCGTGCGGCATATGGGATCTTAGTTTCCCAACCAGGGATTGAACCCATGCCTTCATGCATTGGAAGTGTGGAGTCTTTTTTAAAATTTATTTATTTATTTATTTATGGCTGTGTTGCTGTGCGTGGGCTTTTCTCTAGTTGCAGCGAGTGGGGGATATTCTTCGTTGTGGTGCGCGGGCTTCTCTTTCTCTGGCTTCTCGTTGCAGAGCATGGGCTCTAGAGCGCAGGCTCAGTAGTTGTGGCACACGGGCTTAGTTGCTCCGTGGCATGTGGGATCTTCCCGGACCAGGGCTCAAACCTGTGTCTCCTGTGTTGGCAGGCGGATTCTTAACAACTGCGCCACCAGGGAAGTCCCAGGAATGCAGAGTCTTAACCACAGGGACCACCAGGGAAGTCCCTAAAATTAGTTTTTATTATTGCTTCTTTCCTGATTCTTGAGGCTAGATTTCTCTCCTTCCTTACATAAGTTATCTGGCTGATAGATCAATAACAAATTAATCCCTTTGTCATTTATTCTTTCAAAAAATAATTACTGAGCATCTATTAAGTACAACACAATATGCTAAGTACTAATGATCTACAATAAACAAATCTTTTCTGTTTGCTATTTACAACCTGGCCCTGACAATGTAGGGATCTGGTCCTATTTTCTAAAAGCTAAGGCCCATATGAGTGAGAATAGGTTGGTTATTCTTTCAGTTTTTAAGTTTAAATCTAGAGTTTAATCACCTCATCATTAATTACTTTTTAAGAACCTGTTTGGAATTAGTCAACTGAGAATATCATTTTAGGTTTGCCAGGCTATATTGGCTGTTTATATTCTTGACCTCCAAGTGATTAAGTTAGATTATCACTTATTTGCTGTTAGAACAAATTGTTCTATATTTGGAGTAACCCTATTTTCTTAGATATAAGTTATTTCCTAGCAGAGGTGACAACTATGGACATCCACTTTTGTCCTTTGGTGGTCCAGGTCATCTTTTAAAGACCTGACTCAGAAGGATTGGACCTAGCGAATCTTTTCTCCAGTTACTGTTTCTTGAGAGTAGTGAAGTTTGCGTTACCAGCTCTGGTCTGTGGGCCTTGGAAAGTGGAAGAGTGTTACCTACTGTGTGTGTGTGTGGGGGGGGAGGTAAAATGTTCATGTTAAGTTATTTAGACTGACTTTGCTTAAGTAAAACGATAACCATAATATTACAGTCAAGTTAGTTGAGGCACCCACTGAATAAACCATAAACTATATACTATGAATGCTCCAGGGAGGAATTTATCTTTGTATTGGGTTGGCCAAAAAGTTCGTTTGGGTTTTCTGTAACATCTTACAGAGAAAAACCCGAACGAACTTTTTGGCCAAACCAATAGAACTATGCCCTTCACATTCATTGATTTAGAAAAACAGTTGGGTAGTTGGGGGAACTCTTCACTTAAAAAAAAAATCATGTCATAACATTAAAGAAACTTACTATGTAATATACTTTTTTTTTTTTTAATGTCTGCTGCCTTCTTGGCCCCATATGTGTATATTCATGATTTTTACACAGTTTAACACCACTGCTTCCCCCTTAATGTTTTATCCTAACTGTTAGGAAAAAAGAAAATTCTTTTCATGGACCACTGGTTAAGATAGTGACTGAGTCATTCATTTGTGCTCAGGTGTAAAATAGCCTTCGTTTCCACAAGTAAAGTTATACACAGCTGGGTATTCAAAGTAAAACACTAATAAAAACAAAAATTTGTTTTAACAGGTGTATAATTTGTCTCAAAATATTCAAGAAGATGATCTTCAACACTTGCAAGTATGTATGTCTCAAAGAATGTATGCCAAAGTGTTGAAAATTTAATTCCCACTTTGTTGTGACTTTACACCAAGAACCTGTAATATTGTAAGAAGATTGACTATCATATGGTTTTAAACAGATGTACGACTTCTTAACTAGAAGAAATTTTAAAGTATATGCAGTCTTAAAAAATTAAATGCTTGGCTTTCAAATGATTTTAAAGGCTCTGACATCTAGTCGTCTGATATAGAATAGCTTTACAGAGGTCTTCTTTTAACCTTTTCGGGGGCATTATTTTAAATAATTTGATTTAATAGTTATTTACAGAATACGGCAGACTTGCAATGGAAGAAATCTACCAGAAGCCATTTCAGGTAAATAAATATTTTATCATTAAAAAAAATTTTATCTATGAAAAGCTATCATCTTGTATCTCTGGAGATATGAGGACATTATGCAAAACTCATTTTTAGCAACAGATCTAGTGGAATTGAAACTAATTTATGGTAATGTCATCACCATCTTATCAGTAGCAGCTTACAGGATAGGAAATAGAACAAATGAATATAGACTGGTTCTTAATACTTTTACTTAAAAGGTTAATAACATTTCTTTTAACTGGATATTACTTCCAAAACTTGAGATAGTCATGTAAATTTCTTTTATATGTGATAAACTACTAGAAAATGTTATTGGTTGTATGTGTGTGTGTGTGTGTGTGTGTGTGTGTGTGTGTGTGTGGTATATTACAAGTTGAGGTTAGACCTATTATTCTTTATTTTTGTATCAAATAGAAAAGTTTCAGAATGTATTATGTCTCTCCCCCATGTGTTTTTTCATTACTTTTAAATGTTAGGTACAGAATATTAAGTCAGAAATTAACCTTGATTTGAGAAGCATATGCTCTGCTTGCTTCTGTGGAGTCTTATCATTAGAGATTTTTAAAAAAGCAGAGCTAATTTCAGATAGATTCTTCTTTGAAACAAGTGTAATTTGTAAGTAGACATTTTACTATTTGGTTAGTTGTGTTATAGTAGGTGAGAATGACTCCACCCTGTTTGCTCATCAGTGTGTGAAGTCCTTCCTGTGTGATAGCATCACTGGTGATTCTGTTAGTGGGTTACATTGATTCTGCCTCAGTCTTGTCTGGCTCAGGTGATCATTTTTATGAAATATTTGGGCAGGTTATGGGGTTATTTTGTGTATATGATGAAATATACTCTATTTGGCCTCTATCAGTTTTTCTGAACTGGGGTAATTTTGCCACCCAGGGGGCATTTACCAGTGTCTGGAGACATTTTTGGTTGTTACAGTTTTGGGGAGGAAGTTCATGCCATTGGCATCTAGTTTATAGAGGCCAGACATGCTGTTCAACATCCTACAAAATGTAGGACAGCCATGCACAGCTAAGAATTATCTGACCCGAAGTGTCAGTAGTGCTGAGTTGAGGAACTTAAGCATATAGGAATTAAAAATTCTATGAAAAGAACTAATTGGTCTAGAATTAGGTTAGTTGGTCTTCTAGTTACACAATCTTGACTTAAAATTATGATCTGTATACCCTGATATGTCTTTTGTTTCTTTTTAAAATATCCTGTATTATTGCTTGTGGTGACTCTTACACACAGTGAGGTTCTCAGATGGAGGTAGTTTCTTGGTATAGGAGCTGGGAGTATTGTTGGCTTATGTAGGCTCTTGTTATAACTATGAGTAGTATTAAGCCATTTGGTTACTATAACTTTTGATAAGGATTGTTTTTGGGGAGTAAGGGGTGCTTCAGTTATTAAAGTAGTAATTTTTGGTAAAGTTTTATAAGAAATGATTTCAATTTTTTCCCCTTCTTTCTGTAGACACTTATGTTTTTGATTCGAGACTGGAGTTATCCTTATGAACATTCATATGGTTTGGAAGGTGGAAAACAATTCCTTGAAAAGAGATTGCAGGTAAGCCCCCATTTCTTAGAGAAGAGAGCATAAGCACCAAGCCCCAGGTGAGATGTGGACTGTCTGGACTGCTGCTTAGACTACCAACCTCTGAGTGTCATTGGAACAAATTGAGTATCCCAAGTTAACCCAGATAACTGCATACATAATTGATGAGAAGTAAATTGGTAGCACTCCTGTGAAAGAGGACAATAGAAATGCCCTCAAGTAGAAGTTAAGGAATGGATATTCTCTCCAGAGCCAACTGCCCCTTCAATAAATCAATATTCAAAGGATAAAAGTTTGAAGTAGACTAACTTTTTGATCTGCTCAGGTTGCAGCATTTCTCTTTCTGGCCCAGCTGAGCTTCTGAGCATTTGGGACAGGCTGGATAATCTAGTGTGGATGCATTGAACACAGATGATGTGAGACTCTCTTTCCAAGGATACTATCTCGTATAGTGGCAGCATATAGAGAAAAAAGGGATCTTAACCATTATCTAGTATAGCCTTTACACACACACACACACACACACACACACACACAAAACTGGGACCCAGAAAAGTGACTTGCCTTTGGTCACTTAACTAATTATTGATAACTGGGAGTAGGACCCAAATGTCCAAGCTCCTGGCCTGGCCTGTGCAAATGCCACACCAAGTCATTCCTGGAAAATAACATGGAAGTACTTTGGGAAACCCTCAGGTCAGATACTACCTACCTACTGACGTCCACAAAAGATACATAAAAATACCTTTATTCATAAGTAGGAGGTTTAGCTCTTTGGGGTAATAAAATTTTGTTTGTTTCCTATGAAAAAATGCATTTAATTTCGCAGCCACATGCAAAGACTTAGGGTTTAATGTAATTTTTCTTAATCCTAAAATAAGATCAAAACCAGCTCCTCATTTCTTGGATTATTTGAAAGGCATTTCTAGACTTGTCAGAGATAATTTCATTCATCAGCGTTTTCTCTGGTTTGTTCAGAAGAAATTAACCCACAGCACATCAGGCATATTAACTAAATTCAGAATTATGTACTTCAAAGATAAGGAGGTTTTTAAATATATTATTGAAGCCATACAGAAAAGTACTCAGATCATAAGTGTGCAGCTTGAGGAGTTTGTACAAATTGAACATAGCCATGTAACCACCCAGAAGCAACTGCCTGTATCCACTAACTCCCGCACCCCCCGCAAACCCTTCATTACTCTTTTGACCTCCAACAGGCTTGGTTTTTGGACTTTTTATGAAAGGAATCATATACAGTATGTATTCTTTTGTGTCCAGCTTCTTTTGCCCAGTATTACATTTCTGAGATTAATCCACATTGTTGCATGTAGTTTAGTTCACTTATACTCATTGCTATGCAGTCTTCCATTGTATGAACAGGCAACAGGTTTTCCATTCTACTTTTGATGGAGATTTAGGTAGTTTCCAGATTTTGTTGATTACGAATGGTGCATGTTTTTTAGAATGGTTTTTGAGACGAGTTTGGGAGAATATGTGAGTTATATTGGGATAAGTAGTTATTAAAAATCTAACATTAGGATTTCCTTCCAGAAAATACATAGCAGTCTCTCTTCTGCAAAACACTGATAAACTAGCATAAATCATAAATAATCATTTGGAGTAAGTGCCGAAATCCTAATAAATTTTTAAGGCTCTTTGGACTGCATTGGAGCTTTTCGCCTTATCTGTTGTTTTGCTCAGGGGCTGACCTTTTTATTCGTAGGCAAATTAGTACTTTGTTTTTCTCTTTGCCATTATAAGTACTTTAAAGGCAAATTCTTAATTTATTTACTGGTTTATAAATCACAGCCACACCTGTTGTTCTGGTGTTAGATATTATGATTAATTATTATTTGTATTTATTCATATCCTTGGCAGCTAACATGGGAAAAAAAGTCTTTTTTGTTTTAAGACAGAGTGGGATCTTATCAAATGGTTAGAAATGGGTCTTTAGTAAAATTTTATTGTCAAGAAGCACACACCTAGACTAGCATCTGAGTTAATGTGCGTGCATGTGAGTACGTATGTGTGTTTTCTTAAAAAAATGTGTTTTTCTCTTGTTTGCACCTTCACCTTGTCTCCTTCTGTCCCCAGGTAAAACAAAATCAACATGAAGAGCTACAGAATGTAAGGAAGCACATTCACAATTGTTTCTCAAATCTTGGTTGCTTCCTTTTGCCACATCCTGGTCTTAAAGTTGCAACTAATCCTAGTTTTGATGGGAGATTGAAAGGTGGGAATTCCCATTCTTGCTAAAATCAGAACTTAAGTTTTAGAGACTGGAAGTTAAAAAAAATACATGGTTCCTTAAATTTTTTCTTTTATACTGGAGGACGTTTTAATGCATTATTAATGGTGTGATTGTAATGTATTGGTTTCTTGCAAACACCTGGCATATTGATTAACATTTTATAAGGTGGTCTGTTGCTCAGCACTGATGTCCTAAAAATACTGAAGGCTAAGAACATTTCAGTATTTCGTCTGATTGCACTCTGCTAAAAAGCATCACCAATATATTATATTGATGTAATTAGATTTAAGTCTGTTCGGGGGTGATGGTGTAATTTTTTGTATATGTTTTAGGATTATTTTGAGCATGATGGCAAAAGGCTTGAGGATTGACAAAACTTTTAACAGTATGGCTGGAGAAACAAAATTTAGTATTAAAATTTAATACAATTTCATGAATTGCTTGCCATTTGGAAAGGATAGTTTAGTTAAAATACTTGATGTGGAATTTGTTCTGGTAGGCCACAGTTTTATTTGTTATTTGGGCTGAAAGAATTATTGGGAGATGACGGAAGTGGGGTAGTAGAGTGGAGGGGTGGTTATATTTTTTCCTAGGAGATGTGACAGTGTGATGTGTTTGGATGAGTTTTTTGAAATGAATCTACACTTACGTAGCATATTTTTAATTTATGAAATAGAATTTTATTAACTCTTACCAATGGGGACTTTACTTTTTTTTTTTTTTTACTAACATATTGACTAATTTCATGTCCACTAGATATTGATGAAGAGTTTAAACGAGAGCTTCGAAATCTGGTTCCATTGCTGCTTGCCCCAGAAAATTTGGTAGAAAAAGAGATAAGTGGATCTAAAGTCACTTGTAGAGATCTTGTAGAATACTTTAAGGTAGGAAAATTCTTACATTAAATGGCTTTGTCTAAGTTAGAAATATAGCTGACTTAAAACTCATTTGTATGTACAAGAAATTTCTTACCTTTATTTTAAAGCAAAAAAGTAAAATTTATATTTTTTTGCCTTGAATTGGATGTATCAGTATTTAAGAATATTTAAGATGGTAGCAGACAACATGTATCTTCTAGACAGTGATTTTATTCTTTGTAGAGTTATCCTACTTTTTCTCCAGCTCTGATATGGAAAGAAGAACCATTCACCATAATATTACAATACCACTCTATCATTTGAGAATGATAATAGGTATTGGGAGCATAATTCTGTATCCTGAGTTCTCACAAAAGCCTTCTCTCAGAGTCTGGGCCTTGATAAGAGCAGCTGAAAGTATCCAGACTGGGTTTGAGCTCAAGTAAATTATGCATAGATTTTTTTTTCCCCCTCTGCTGTTCTCTAGTCTTTTTTTTTTTTTTTTTTTTTTTTGGGCGGCGGGGGTCTCACCCTTGTTGCCTCTCCCGCTGCGGGGCACAGTCTCCGGATGCGCAGGCTCAGTGGCCGTGGCTCACGGGCCCAGCTGCTCCGTGGCATGTGGGATCTTCCCGGACTGGGGCACAAACCCATGTCCCCTGCATCGGCAGGCGGACTCTCAACCACTGCGCCACCAGGGAAGCCCTGTTCTCTAGTCTTTATAGCTTGCTTGCCAGAGCAAGACTATTGTAGAGGTTTGTATTTATTCATTGTAGTTGTAAATAGACAGAAGGGAAATACAGTTAACTAAGAGTGTATTTTTGTATTATTTAATGGACACTTGATCACTTTCATACTATCTTTGTTCAGTTATGAATTAATTTAGAGTCAGTAGAAAGTTGAGGTGAAAGATTCCTATATAGAACTTACTTAAAAACGTTCATCTTTCTTTCTTACTCTTAAACCACAAATTCAGTAATATTTTTTCCCTTGAACTGAAGTATATTTTAAGCTGGTCAAAGGAAAATACTGAGTTAAAATATTTTCTTACATATTTATTTGAAATGTTGGCATTAGGGGAGAATTATGGATTTCTTTTCATAAAGTAGATGGCATTTTATATATAACTTTTAAATATGAGACATAATTTTTATGCCAAGTTGGAGTTATATTTAGAGACATTTCTCTAGGATATTATTTAGCAGCATACACACTTAATAATGTTGAGAATAGGGTTAACTCTGTTGGAATGAGAGTATATGATTTTTAAAGCCTAGACTTTTCTTATAATAGTGTGAATCATTTTTCTATTTAATGATTTTTCTTTCTTTGGGGATGTGGAGCCAACTTGCATAACCTATGAATATAATGAGTCTTCTGTATTTTTAGGCTTACATTAAAATTTATCAAGGAGAGGAACTTCCACATCCAAAGTCCATGCTTCAGGTAGTGTGTGTGTTGTACATACATTTATTTACGAAGGAGAAAAAAAAATCTTTGCTTTAGAGATAAATGCTGGAAATGGGGTAGTGTTTCTTTCCATGCAAATACATTTTAGATGCTTAAGGCATGGGTCCTGAAGTTTTAATGAGTTTCAGTAACTACAGGTTGCACACCTTGCACACCAGAAATGAGGGTCCTCGGTGCCTTCTCTTCAGTTGCTCAAAAAGTGTAGGAGAATTTCTGCTTCAGAAGATAGCTTCATATGGGCCTTGCCAAACCAAGAGCCTTGCTTCTGCTTTCTGAGTCTTTGACAATGAATGTTGTTTGAAATAAGGCTTATTTTCTCTTGATATTAATGATTCACGTCTGGTTCTAGTGAATATAGATTTTGTTTTTATTTTTTTTAAAAAGGTGTTCTTTAGGGACAATGTTATTTTAACCTAATTCATTTTTTTTTTAATTAATTAATTAATTTATTTATTTTTGGCTGTGTTGGGTCTTCGTTTCTGTGCGAGGGCTTTCTCTAGTTGTGGCAAGCGAAGGCCACTCTTCATCGCGGTGCACGGGCCTCTCACTATCGTGGCCTCTCTTGTTGTGGAGCACAGGCTCCAGACGCGCAGGCTAAGTGGTTGTGGCTCACGGGCCTAGTTGCTCCGTGGCATGTGGGATCTTACCAGACCAGGGCTCGAACCCGTGTCCCCTGCATTGGCAGGCGGACTCTCAACCACTGTGCCACCAGGGAAGCCCAACCTAATTCATTTTTTAAAAAATTTGCTACTTTGGGCAGTTTCTCAGTTTTATAGTGGATTAAACTGTTTTTTCATAAAACCCATCCAATAAGCAGGTGGATTTAAAAATGTATCTTGTGTGTAATACTGATTATGAGAGAGAGGACCATATGAGTAATTCTTGATTCTTTGCACCTGGGGACTTGACACATTTTAGGGTTGTATATGTTTAATTTTCTATAATTTCCTGGGCATATGTGGTATTTTCTACAAACCCACTTTAACAAACCTAAGCAAAACAAGATTAAGCAGGTAGTCCTATTAGAAGCAATTATTATGTCCTTTATACTGGTGTTTCCTTCAATTAGAAAGGGAAACTGGAAGTTGATAATATTTTCTCTGATTCATTTTCAGACTTGGTCATTGTACATAATTTATTGTCTTAATCAGAATTTATAGTTATCAGGTATTTCACATAAAATTGGCACATTTTATTTTATTTCTTAGGCAACAGCTGAAGCTAATAATCTTGCTGCAGTAGCAGGAGCAAGAGAGATCTATTGCAAAAGTATGGAGCAGGTTTGTAACTAAAATTTAAATTTGACACTAGAGTAAGATAGAAGATTTTTATATTTAAAATAATTGAACCAATTTGTGCTCCTTTTACATTGTCATGTTACATCATTCCCAAATTTCCCTTTATCATCTCTGCTGGAAATAAACTAAGAATATAATTCCCATGGTTAGAGTGCAGGATATGGGTAGTAAGTTATTACATAGACCACGCTGAAATCTTTTCTGACACATGATTCAGAGTGCTGTTATTAGTAGCTTCTGATGCAAGCAACATCAGCTTAAGGGCAATAGCAACTTCTTTGCTAAGCTTGCTAACTCAAACATTAAAGTACCTTTTTTATGTTATCTTTTACCCACTTTCTTGCCAGCAGTCTTGTGTACTCTTTTGGTGTATTGCTGGGTCAGGTGAAGTCAGGTACAGATTGCAGTGTAATTCTTTTTGTCTTTATTGGTATATAATTAATACCAATATAATTAATTTTGGAAAGTTTATTTTGCTTGAGTCAGTTAAACATATAAGAAATAAGTAGGTTATGATAATGTGTGAAGTATTATGAACAGATGTAAAACTAAACCATGTAGGTGGTTTGACTTTTTGAGATTAAAAATTATGATCAGGGAATTTCTTTCAAGTGTGAATTATTTCCAGCATGTAATCTGTCCTAATGTAACCCTGCCTTTACAGGTATGTGGTGGGGACAAGCCTTACATTGCACCTTCAGATCTGGAGCGAAGACACCTGAATCTCAAGGAAGTGGCGATTAAACAGTTTTGTTCAGTAAAAAAAATGGGTGGAGATGAATTCTGCCGTCGTTATCAGGACCAGCTTGAGGCTGAAATAGAAGAAACCTATGCAAATTTTATAAAGCACAATGATGGCAAAAATATCTTCTATGCTGCTCGTACCCCTGCCACACTATTTGCAGTCATGTTTGCTATGTATATAATCTCAGGACTGACTGGCTTCGTTGGCCTAAACTCTATAGCCGTCTTGTGTAACCTTGTCATGGGGTTAGCACTGACGTCTCTTTGTACTTGGGCATATGTTAAATACTCTGGGGAGTTCAGAGAAATTGGAACAATGATTGATCAGATTGCTGAAACACTATGGGAACAGGTTGGTATCTGTCTTTTGGTTTTTCAGTGACTAATCTTATCCCTGTGACTCCCCACCCCTCCTTTCAGTCCCCCATTCCTCACCCCCAGTATTTGCACACCTACTTTTCCTTTATCTGGAGAATGGTAAAAGGATATTTTCCTTTTTGTTTAGATGCATAATTTGAATATAAAGTATGAACTGGTTTTTTTCCCCTTTGAAGTTGTAATTATAGTGTGCTTTGGTTGGCTTACATCTGTAATATCCTTTGGATAGATTCTTAGTCATAGGCCTGATTATACTAGACAAGTGGGCAGGGCCAGAGTCTTTAAGGATTTTTTTTTTTAAGAAAAGAAAATATAATTAGTGCAAGAGTTATGAAGGTAAGGAAACAAGTTTGGAAGTGTAATTCTTTTGCTTTAGGAAAGCAAAAGAAGTTTCTTACTAATATTGGCAAGAACCAAGGCATGCTTATATTCCAGGAAAAATATTGTGTCTTCATTGCCTTCCATGAAGTTAATAGTGATTTACTGATGTACTACAAGGAACAATCTTATAGGGAATTCTTACATCAAAGAAACTTTGTTTGACCTCTATACTGTGGAAATACTAATGAACAAAGCAAAGCACCACAAACAGAGAACCAGCTTTTCTTAATCATAATCCGTTATCTCAACCAGAATTCAAATCATGATTTTTTACCTCAAACCAGAATTCAAAGTTGGGCCTGACAAGTATCTACTAAGGAAAGCCTTGTTGTATATCAGCCAACTGTTGTCTGGAATTGCCTGTGTTCAGAAAATTTCATTTAAGGATGTTGTCATTAAAATGATCATCGTGAAATACTTGAGCATCATGTCAAGGACCAGAATGAAAACTACAGTTATTACCGATGGACAGTTATAAAAGGTGTTTTCAGATACCATTTCTGGGCTGATGAAGTATTGGGCTTATTTGAAGATCTAAGATATGCAGGTCCATGTTGGTTTGGCTTTAAATTCAAAGACTGAAGTTGATTGGATGTTGACTTTTCTATTAATAATGTCATTATTATTTTATACAGTGACCCACTATATTAATTTGGATTTTATATTTCTTCTTTATAGAAATGCTCTATTCAGATCTGATTTGGAAGCTTGTGTCTGGATATTTGTAAAATTTAAATTTTTATATCAAAAATAATCTCATTCTTTATATTCCTTTGATATCTTCTGACCGAAGATGGATTAAAAGCTATCACAACCTCAAAAAAAAAAAAGCTATCACAATGTCACTTAAAATATTACCTACTTTAAAAATGTTGGACCATTACTAATTTTGTGCAACATGAATTTCGATAGTTGTACATTGTCTTCTTTTGAAAACCACTCATCTCCCATGCAGCATTGATTCTAGGAGTTTAGAAGTGCCATTATTACAGAACAAGTGAATGGAAGAATCTAAAGTGTGTAAAATTATTTTCAGTATAGTTGAGGTAAGATGATCACTAGTCAGAAGATCTGTGCTGTGTCAACACTTGTCTAAATTGTTTTGCATTTCTCTTTTCTTTTGCTTCAGAGGAGTCCCAGGAAGGTGAGAAACCTACAAAGTCTCAAATTCTTGTAGTCTTAAGTTCTTTAACTTCAAGGCACTCTGAGTCATTCTCCTAACGAATCACTCCATGTTTTAGGTGTTTTCCAAACTGTTTGAAGTTACTAGACGTCGAATGGTTCATCGTGCTCTTTCATCAGCACAGCGACAGAGACTGTCATCCAACAATAACAAGAAGAAAAATTAGACAGTATTTTTAACTTTTTTCTCTATCCGAAGTGTTCACACTTACACATGTAGGACAATAAGCAGGACCGTCTGGGCCGGTCTGCATAAATGCTGTATACATACCAGATTTGATGCTGCATATAGGGTATGGAATTGCACATCCATCTCATAGGAATTGTAAATGGTTTGAATAGGAGGAAAGTAATTTTTGTTGCATTATAAAATGTCTAACTGCATTATTTGTAGCATCATAACTTTTTTTGGGAGAAGCACCTTTTTATTTCCCACATTCCTGGTTATTTTCTTCATTGCTTTGAATTGAATTTTTATATATTTTTATATGTAACTCTTTTTTTACCTCATGTTTTTATTTGTTTTGCACATTTCTCATACCACAGGTATTGAAGCCCCTGGGTGATAATTTGATGGAGGAAAACATAAGGCAGTCTGTAACAAACTCTATCAAAGCAGGCCTGACTGACCAGGTGTCTCATCATGCCAGATTAAAGACAGACTGACAGTTCATCTCCTCATGGACTCCACTCTTTCTTTTTTTCATGCTTGCTGTACAATGAGAACTCAAATAAAAATAAACCAAAGTTTACAATCAACTGTAGAAGTAGTTTAGATAACTGGCTTCACAGATGGCTGCCACAGAGTGTGAAATTGTTTGTTGGTTTTAAGCATTCTGTTCATGGCTCCTAAGGCATGAAGACTGGCTGAGGAGCATTAGTTTTCATGCACACTTGTACCATGTTTAATTCTTTTTTTCCCCTTTTTACTTAATCTAATGTTAGTGAAATTTGTCTTATGTAAAGGATATTTCAGGGAAATATTTTAAGAAATCTATTTAGAGTCTCTTTAACACAGTGTCCCATTGAAATTTTAATTTTTAGAGAAGTTATGAATCACTGTATCAAGAAGCAGATTGGAATGACAATGAAGCCTTTATTGAGCCACGACATTAAAAGTATATATTGCTTTACTGCCTTCAATACCAGTATTACATAAATGCATGTATCAGAAACTTCACAGAAATTACATGACAACTCTTGTAGCTAAGAAAGTGATTCTGAGGTGTACATTTGTCTTGCCTTTTTAAATTTATAAACCTGCCCTAAAAGGAGATGCATATCTGGGAAACTGAACTGACTTTATGCAGTTTAGCCTTCATGTACATAAAATATGCCGTTAATTTATTGGGGGAGAAATTCCATCCAAAAATGTTGCCTACAGCTATGAGTTAAGAGTGTCTATACAGTGTGTAGCTTTTATTTTCTAAAATCACAGGTAGGGCATGTATATGAATTATAAATATATAAATACGATTTTGTATTAAAAGTTTTGTAGTTTATGACAAAATCTGGTTCTGTGGTAGGCTAATGAGTACAGTCCCTGTGAAGGAACGTTTGTGGCTCATGTCAGTGTGTGAGTGCATAGACAATTTGAAGTTTTTGATATATTTGTGATATTTATCTTCTTGAGCACTGCAGTCTCACCACCCTCCCCCCACCCCCTCCCCCCAGGGGAATTCAATGGGAATGTTTATCGTGACTTTGTCCTCTGTTGCATTTTAAAGTTCCTTCCTGTAATTTATTTTCAGTACATAATTAAAAATTTGTATATATAAAATGAAACTTGTGATTTTTTTTTTTAAGGAATTCTTCAAATATGTATTCCATTACATAAACCTATTTGTTTATACTGAAAAGAGCATGAGTGGGAAACACCCAAGTGAGAGCTGTAAGGTATCGTACCTCATACCTCGAATCTAAGCTTGTAAACAGTTATTTTTCTGTGTCTGTCTCTGTTAGGGAAAACTTGTTGTGATTAGCCTAGGGGATTTATTAATTTTGTTTCTCTCTTTTTTGTGGTGTACGTAAGGCTAACATTCTGTAATACTTTTGTAGCCTTCTCTATGAACACCTATTAAAGCGTCTAGTTTGGTTTTTAAGTGAAGAGAACTCAGATGTTGAGTTGCATGGCCGAAAGCTCTAAATTTACTTTGGTTGATATATCTGCCTCCTGCTTCAGATCCTGTTTTTATATGGATTGTATTTGTTTCCATCTGTATTAAACTGCTACCAACTCATCTGTTCTTAAACAGAATCCACCTGAAATGTGTCTCTTTTTATTTCTTTTACCACCCTGTTTTATGAATGCCGTAGACTGTTTTTATGAATGGAAAAAATAAAAAGTTTGTTGTATAATAGCAGTTCTTCTGAAATTAAAGACAGGTTGGTTATTTATTTATTTTTAAGCAAAAGTGCTGTGAAATCTAAACCATTGGATTTCTTAGAATTTCTTGTTGGAAAGAGTGTTTTCCCCAAAGATACAATTCTATAAAGGATTCTAAGAAAGTACTTTGGTTTCAGCTGGAAGACTCTGAATATTGCTACACAGGAAGCAATAAAAGGGAATAAAGACAAACTCAAAACTGTTTGCTGAAATAAGTTTTGTGTTAGTATATTTTCTGTGGTATAATTTTTTAGTAATTTATATTATAAGGTAGGTTTTTAAAAAAGAAACCCAATAACAAACAGTCTATCTTCCTAATTAAGACATAAATAATTTACTTTTGTGGAAGGGACAGTCATTTGTGACCCTACTATTGAGTATGCCTTGTATGTCTCTCATGAAGATAGCTAGTCATCCTTGCTTCACTGAACATATTCTACTTGTGAAGCTGAAGAGCAGTATTTAATTTTTGAGGGTTTATATTTTCGGTGAACTTTGAGCAGGGCTTCCTTTAGTTAGTTTACTCCCACAATTGGGCTAGCTACTAGGGAGTTGACCTTGCTGTAGGCGTGAGTGCTGCTGGTGTTAGTTACATTGTTTCATTATTGTGGGATTAAAAAAAATTTTTTTTGGTTTTAACTTGGTTAAGAACCTATTAAAATATACCATGAAATTTCAGAAAACACTGACGTTGCTGTTAGTGGTCCACTAAGGTCAAACGGCCTTACGGAAAGCTTTCTGATGAGCTGCTTCTCTGCTAGTGCGGGTTGCTTGGGTCTGTTGCACACACTTTTAGGTTTCAGCAGCTTCATTCCTGGCTTGAATTTTCCCGTACTTTGACCATAATTGATCTGTGCACCTAAATGTTTTTCCATTTGTGTCCTGGTTGTGGGGTGATGGTGAGAACCAGCTTGGAGAGCTGGCAGCTGTTCCAGGCAGCCATCTTACTTGGCCAGAGTTTACTAATCAAATGACTGTCTTACTTGGATTCAGTCTGGAGCCTCTGTCAGAGAGAATCCTTCCACTTGGCTTTTGGGCAAACAAAGCTACATTAGAGCTTTCCCAAGCAGGACAGAGAAATGCCACCTTCTCTACCTAAGTCTTCTATCAGATCCTAGGAATTTTTCTCTCCAGATTTGCAGTTTGCTGGAATTTAGGCTGAAGAATTGATCTACCCTTGACATGCTTGAGTGCGATACAGCTCCTGTCATGTTCTCTTTAGGTTTGTGACGTTTTCGATTCTTCAGTGCCAAAGCTAGCAGTTGACCAGGTCAAAAGTGCCTAAAGATTGTAAAAAAGCTTAGGAGAAGAGGGGATCATAGCCTTTGCATAGCTCAGTCAAGCACTTAAATACACATTAGCACTTTTTGTACAACAGTCGTGTGGTAGGAAACCACTTTATCCAAAAAGGTGTCTCGGGTATCTCAGGCTTGCAAACCAGGATTCTGCAACTCCACACCTCCAAGGGTTTGAGTCAGTGGAAGGTTTCAGACACAGATGAGTAACATTCCTAACTCAAAGCTCTGTCTTAGCTGCATTCTGAAAAGTACTAAATGTGGAGAAAAAAGATTCTGTTAATACTGAAACAAGGTGAAAATTACCCATAATACTACATTAAAAACACAAGTCACATGAAGCAAGAAGTGAAAATCTTCCAGTCCTATTGATACACCCCAGAGGTAACCGTATATTTGGTGTGTGTGCTGTGGAAATCTTTCCCTGTGCTTATTGACACGTCACTATACTGCATAAAACATACCCAATTTTTATTTTACACAAAAATAGAATTACCCTGTACGTGATATATTTTTTTCATATAACTGACATTCTAGGCCATTAAGTAATTCTTTAATGCTCACATGGTTGCTTTGACCCTTCTGAGGGTAAGAGGGGTTTTGAGGAGAGAGCACTAGACCTTGGATCTCTGCTAACAGTTTCCTTACTTTTTATGACAATTCCTGCCCTCTCACAGGATTGGTGAGAGAATCAAATATGAAAAGAAGCAGGTAGCATAGAAAATTTGTACTCAGTTTTGCTTAAGTCTTAAGTCTCCATCTGCTGGCTCTATTTGGCCAATAGTCAGTCTGATAACTACTTCCTGAAGCTTGTCCATAACGATTTTTTTTTGGGGGGGGGGCATGGGAGTAATTTGGGCTGTTATTTAACAGTTATTTTTAAGCTTTCTGACAAATACGTTTATATGGCAAACAACACGGTCATTGTGGAGGAAAATGGGTCTATAGCTACTGACAGAGCAAGCAAGAAAGGTCATCTAAAATGGCATAGTTTAGATTTCCCAAACACAAAACGTGAAGACTCCGTAAACACTTATGTAACCTAGAACTGGAAGAATACTTGAATTTCAACTCCAGGAAAAGGAGATGGACCTTGGAGTTAAAACGGAACTTTGTTCCCAGCACCACCACTTCCAAGCTTTGTGAACTTGGGCAAACACTTAGGTAACAGCTGAGCCTCACCTTCTTCATCTATAAAATGGAGATGATACCTACCTCTCAGGGTTGTGAGGAGGATGAGATGAAAACATATATCAAAATCCTGGTAGACATTCTGAATCCCTTTTATGGGGATGATATTTGTGAAACGTGCATCTATCCTTCCAAACCGTATGTACTTAATTTTACACCCTTTGCTTCCTGAAGAGAAAAAACATGATGAATCTTGGAGGGTGGTGGTCATTGTTATTTTGTCTGTGGAGAAAAGCAGTATCAGTAAGTTCTTTTTTCCTCAACTGGATTAAGCTCCTTGGAAAGAAGAAACCATACTTCATGCATCTTTTAATCTTTCATATTATCTAATATTTTTGTATATGGTAAATGCTCAGTTTTTTTTTTTTTTTTAATGAAAGCTTCTTTCTTTCTTTATGGCTGTATTGGGTCTTAGTTTCTGTGCGAGGGCTTTCTCTAGTTGTGGTGAGCGGGGGCCACTCTTCATCGCGGTGCATGGGCCTCTCACTGTCACGGCCTCTCCCTTTGTGGAACACAAGCTCCAAATGCACAGGCTCAGTAGTTGTGGCTCACGGGCCCAGTTGCTCCATGGCACGTGGGATCTTCCCAGACCAGGGCTCGAACCCGTGACCCCTGCGTTGGCAGGCAGATTCCCAACCACTGCACCACAAGGGAAGCCCTCAGAGTATTTTAACATGGGCTGGACTGTTCAACTTCATCCCCTTCACCCACCTTCTGTCCGCTATACATGAGCGAGGTGGTTATGTGGCAGCTATGGGCCCGAAAGTATCAATGTTTTGCATTATTTCCCCTTGGCCTCAAGATGCGAAGGAACATGATCATTAAGTAAAAAGTATCTGCTATAATAACTTTGGGGTAGAGTGAGGTTAGGTTACCCTTAAGGATTTGGATTATCTTTAGAACTTTAGTATTTGATCTAATGCAGCTTAAGTATCTGCTCTTAAGTCCTTAACAGAATTGGGTTTATAGACCTGTGCAGTAAGGAGATAAGGGTTTTTATATACATCGAGTATCTCTAGAAATGCTAGCACTGCTTAGAACAGAGGAGAGAGCATTTCTTCCAGGGAGGATTGAAGGTTTTACAGGAGGCAAAACCCCCAAACTAAGACATTTAGCATCTAAACGAAATACCGCCAATGCTGGTGTAATAACCTTGGGGTGGGTGATCTCCGTTTTGATAGAGGAGTCATCTGAGGCTCACAGAGGTTAGCCACTTTTTTTTTTTTTTTGGTGAGAAGATAAAGGATCTTTGTTTTTATTTCCACTGCCTCCGAGCAGGCTTATTCCATTTAGAGCATTACTTCTCTCCCCTTCTAGGGCACTGCATCAGAGCATGAGGGACAGAACAAAGAACCAGCCAAGAAGAAAAGGAAAAAGAAGTGAAATGCCTGAGTTAATGTGAACTTTGGGGCTTCTGATTTCTTTTTACCCAACAAGCAACAATGCCCCCTTGTCCTACAGCCTGCACCAACGTTGGCATCTTGGTTCTGAACTCAATTGCACGGTCAATTAGAGGCAATCATTCTTGGCAAGTCCTGCTACTGAAAAATGGCTGGCCTTAGGCAAGCCCTTTTGTAAAAAGCACGGCTGAAAGCCTGAGTTTAGGAGCCTGCACCGCCCCGATGAAACTCCACGGGAGCAAATACAGAGCCTCCAGGCAGAGCTACCATCCGGGCTGGCTTCATTTTTCCAGGGAGCCTTTGGTGAGTTCAATTATCTGGTAAATATCCAGTGCTTCCCCCTCGGGAATCCCGTATCTGCTTTCCATCCCAGTTGGGTTGGAAGGGGTTTTACAATCCATGGTCACTTCCTTCCTGAGGCACCGGTCAATATCGGCTGTACTGAAGAAGGCGACTGACTGGGGGCAAGTCATTCAGACCCAGCTTGTAGGCAAACATGCACCTGGTCAAGAGGCTGGCGATCTGCAGGGCGAGGGCAGCACAGTAGCAGTCCTCCTCCCGCACCAGGTAGCGAACCTCATCATGGGTGCTGATGCAGAAGCACCCATCGATGGCGAACACCTCAAACAGCCACTTCCTGGCCACAAGCATGAGGTGTAAGTAGTTCGCGGCGAAGCTTTGCACCGCTCGATTTACACAGCTGGTCATAAACGCCCCCCTGGACAGCAGAGGGCTCCAGGGCTCGGCTGCTGCAGCAGCCCAGCACCGGGGTAGTGGTGTGTCAGACATCGCAATGCTCTCCAGCTTATTGAACGTTTCTGACTCTGTGTCCCCCATCCAGGCTTATTCAGCAACCTCCTCCCACTTCTTCCATTGTGATTTCCTAGAAGCTTCTCTGGATCTTGCGTAGATCCAGCAGGGAAACCAAGCCGTCCTCCATCCTGTCCACAGGGAGGTCCAACTCCCTCACCAGCCACTCGCCCTCATCTAACAGCCGATAGCTGCAGTGGCCCTTGGTGACTGCATACATCTGTCGGGCCTTCTCAGCTGCCTCCTGCCGCGTGAGCCAGTGGTTGAACTGCATTAGG